ACGAGCACACACACGCTCACAATGCACACTCGACCACACACACGCACACACAGGCTCACACAGGCACACGCACGCACACACAGGCACGCACACACACACGAGCACACACACGCTCACAATGCACACTCGACCACACACACGCGCACACAGGCTCACACAGGCACGCACACACACACACAGGCACGCACACACACACGAGCACACACACGCTCACAATGCACACGACCACACACATGCGCACACAGGCTCACACAGGCATGCACACACACACAGGCACGCACACACAATGCACACTCTAGCACACACGTGCACACAGGCACGCACACACCTGAGCACACACACGCTCACAATGCACACTCAAGCACGCACGCACACACACACTTGCACACATACGTGCACACAACACCCAGGGAGTCCCAGGGAGGCCAAACCGACCCTTGGACAGGGCTAGGAGGTCAAAGGGGAAATCCCTCTTTTCTTTTTTCTCTCAGCAACCCCAGAACAACAGACTTTTTGTCAATAAGCATACTCACTTTTGTAGTTAAAAAGTATGTTTTAAAACATTTTGATGAGCTCTCTAGACTCAAATAATCATCTTCTTCACCTTGTTTTCTCTGTGACACGCAAAGGGCTGGCAGGCAGGAGGCTGCTCAGTCAGGAGGGTTGGTGGGAAGACGCCATCCCCCAGCATGCTCTGGACAGGACGCAGACACCGAGTGCCCCACAGTCCTTCATGCTCCGGAGGGTAGAACAGAGCCAGAGGGTGGCGAGGAAGGGGCAGATCCTAGTGACTGCAGCCACTGCCATGAGGGGACAGGGACAGGGCTGCTGAGGTCGAGGCAGGGAGTGGGGAGGCTGGAGTGGGAGGCCCACGCTCCAAATTATACAGGAAGCCGGAGCCTCCCTCCTACTGAACTGGGCCCTGTGGGGTTAGCATCACGAAGTCGCTCTCAGATGGGGAGCTGGAGGGTTGATCACCACCAAGTAACGCAGTTTAACAGTGGACGCTCCTCAGGTCACCCTGCAGCACCTCACTGAGCCCAGCATGGGCTCCCAGTGCCCCTAGGCCCACCTCCCTGTCAGCCACGCCCTGGGTTTGGGCCCCCAAGAGGCCCCACGAGGCTGTAGTTATTTTCTGGGTAAACTGTGTCCCCCCCATCATTTGTAACAATCTCTCTGTCTCCTTCCCTCTCTTCTTCCCTCCATCTTTCCTCCCTCTCTTCCTCCTTCCTTTCTTATTTTCTTCCTTTTTAAATTATTTGTTTTCTCATTTTAATAGCAATACCTAGTTATTGTAGAAAAAGTGGGGACGGCATTAAAATTCCGCCGCGGAGTTGAGGGGAGACGTCCCCGGCTCCTGTCACTGTCGCCACACTGCGTCTAGAGATGCGTGGCTTTGTTTCTCCAGTTCACGTGACCTCATCGCCTCACCTCTCCCTGGAGTCCCTTGAGAGCCTGGTGACAGCATCCTCATGACCCCAAGCTCCTCCACGTGAGGTCAGGCGGCCCCAGGCCTCCCGCTCCGACTCCTGCTGGGTGGGGCCTTGTTGCACCCCCACAAGGTGCACAGCGCCAGCTGCTCCTCCTCCTCACCCTGGCTTGAACAGGCGCATGAGCACGCAGGTCACCTAGTCCAGGCAGCCCTACAGGAGTGCACCCCACCAACACTGACTGAGCCCCCCAGACAGGGTTTAAAGGCTGAGACTGCCAGCTAGGATTTGGGGAGGGGTCCCTGCCTCTGTGGGTCCTGCCTAGCTCTGGCCCAGGCTGACAAGGAGGAGCATCTGTGGGGGGAGCTGGTGTGGTGCGGGGCATGGCAGGGTGTGGGGGCTGGAGAGTGTGGGGTGGAGGGGGCTCAGTCATCTTTCATGAGCCTGAACTGAGGCCCAGGACGCACAGTCCACCATCCTGGGTGTGGACAGCGGGTCCCTCTGGGCCGTGTCACTTCCGCAAACTTCAGCAGAGGTACAGCACTGGGGCTGCGGGGGCCTCCTGGCACCACTGGGAGAGTAGAGCGGAGCCGCGGCACAGGCCCGGCCACCTCTCCAGGAGAAGGCACCTTGGAGTCCTCAGGTCCTCGTTGGGACAGCCGGTGCCAAGGCTGGGCCCGCACATTGCAGCAGGCAGGGTTGGGGTGGGGAGCTCAGCACCTGCCGTGTGGATGGGAGGGACCCCTGCACGCCTGAGGAGAAAGCCCATCAGCTGGGCTCGCTCCTGCCTGCCTGGAGGGGTTTCTGGAGGGAGCGATTCCTCTGCTGAATCTAGGCAGGCACGACTGCAGGAAGAGCATGAAGAGCGTGAAGCCAGCATCCCCGGGTGATCCCGTGCACTCCAGCTTGGCCCTCCGGGAGGCACACCTAGGCCCTGCCCCACCCCTGCCTTCACTTGCTCGGTCCCCACCCCGCTGGGCCCCTCTCTACTGGACACTGCGGGGGTCCAGTTCTCTCTCCAAGATCTGCCAAGTCCATGTGACCTGGCCCCGGGACGCTCCCCGCATGCCCAGCCCCACTGACACCCTTCCCCAAACCCTGCGGTCTGGGGACGTCTTGGCACGCAGGTGACTCGGGAGACAGATCCTGAGCCCACCTGCCAGTGTGCCTGACCGGGTCCGCTGAGCTGGGTGTCGCCTGCTTCTCCTCGTTCTGGGTGGGGCCGCCTGTCCAAATGGCGGTCAAGGCCTTCTTCACTATCTCAGCGTGGGCAGAAAGGCACGGACACGCGAGAGAGCTGCCCTGTGCCCCCGGCCTCCACATCCCACCCACACTCCGCAGCCAGAGCTCTCAGCCCCTCCAACCGGGGGCAGTTCTGGGCTGTCCAGCGCATGGGGGCAGGACAGCCGGGCTAATCACCTGCATGGGAGGGCCCCACCCGACAGGCTCCTGGTGAGGCTGCTACCGCCGCCCCCGCCCACCGGGGCTGAGTCACCCAGGCGCAGCGTCGATGTGGGGAGGGCCTGTCCCTGCGGCTGTCAGTGGAGGCTCACCCTGTGGACTGGAGGAGGAGGCGGAACCCCGCCCGGCTGGGCAGGTCCCGGGTGGTGACTGAGCTATCCACGGTCCTGCCCTTCCCCGTGCGCTGGGCAGAGGCCCACCCCGGCCCAGGTTAGGTGTTCCAGCATCTGGACGTCCACCCTCCCCAGGACACCCCAGTGGGGTATGGCAGGAGAGAGCTCTGTGTGCCCTCAGCTTCCTGCTACGCCAGCCCATTTGACTCTGGGCAGTCCCTGGTTCCCAGCTTAACAGATGTTGACAAGGCCTTGCCTCCTTCGGGGTGGTGCCAGGGGCAGAGGGGCACAGGAAGAACAGGGCACGGCCCCCCGCACACCTCCGCTGTCAGCAGGCCCCCCGGGGCCTGGGATCTCCCACCTTCCTGTAGCGTGAAACCAAAGGCCACAGAAGCAGAGAAAAACAAGCTCTTCCTTTCAATTATAAACTTGCAGGAAACAAGGAGGCCCATCCGTTCAGCGAGACATGCGGACCGATCTCAGCTCGCTAGGAGTCCCACGCTGCAGATCCCCCGTTTCTGTTTATTCTCGAGGGTGGCCAAGGGGGCCCTAGAAGTGCCTTCCAGAATTCAGATGCCAGTGGGGCGGGCTGCCAGGATGGCCACTGAGTGGGGCTCTGCTCTCTGGTGCCAACCAGTGAACCCTGGGAGGGACCACCCTGGGCCCTGCCTGCCCAGCCTGGCAGAGGGGCCCGGCCCAGTTAGGAGCAGGCAAGTGTGGGGCCCACAGGGAACAAGGCGGCGCGCATATACTCTACGGAGGGGCACCGTCTCCACACGGCTAGCTGGGTGTGCCGACGGCGCTGGATGACACCATACGTGGTCCCCGTTGAGGAGTGACTCCTGCTCCCATGGTTAGGGCCAAAGGGTCACAGCCTCTGCAGCTCCCAAATGGCCCAGGGGAAAATGTGTGTGTGCACAAAACAGAGGAGCAGCCCTCAGCCGGAGCCAGAGGATGCGTGGGTGCCCTGCACACTGGCCTTCAACGTTTTTGAGTTTCAAGCTTTTGGTAGTTGGCATGTGGGACACTCCCTCTCCCTCAAGGCAGTGGGGATGCCGGTTCCTTCCGAGGCGTTTCTGCCATGAGCGTCCTCCAGAACGAGTGGGCTGAGGCCCTCAGCTGATGTCCTGGGTGACCACAGGCCTGTTGCGTGTGGCTGGCCGGCCGGACCTCAGCATGTCATCACTGGGCTCACGGTCCTGCCTGAGCACATCTGACCGGCCGTGGCCAGGGTCCACGCAGATGTCCACCTCCGCGTACAAATCCACCTTGTACTGTAGATGGCCCCTCCTGACACCACCCTGCAGTGGCCGGGGACCCCTCCTTCCTGTGGGGTCTGAGTGTCTGAGATGGCAGAGTCACTACAGCTCACCACCCCTGGGGCCCACGGTCGGCTCACGGCGGGGCAGAGGGTGAGATGCTGCCCAGAGCAGCGGCTGTGAACAGCTAGGACAGCGTGGGGTCAGCGTGCCACACGACTGTCTCTCACTGCTGAGCTGGCAGCCGGCAGCCTCTCTCCCGCTGGCCAACCTGGGGGCGAGTACCACCCAAGGTCAGAGAGCCGGCCAGCATTGGCCTGGACTTGTATCCGACTCAAGGAAACTCCCCCCTGCCACTTTTCTCTGACGCACAGACAGCAAGACATGACAGCAAATTAGGTTAAGGAGGGGTTTCAGGAAGAATTACACACTGAAGGTTATCAGGTGGAGGCTGGCTGGCGTCCATGGCTGTTTCGTGTAGTAATTACATGTTGCTCATTGAAGTTGCTGAATGTTAAGTTACAAGCATAGGCTCTCCATGTATCATTCAACCACAATTATGATAATTACATCCCCACGGGAAGGTCGGCAAAAATGGCCTGGGAGGGGAAATGGGTGGCAAAGACTTGGGAGGTGGTGGTTGAGTGGGGCCATGGGATGAACTGTTCTCACGTGAACGACAGACTGGTGGACGTTCTCCAGTATTTTTCAAATGCTTAAAGAGAAAATGTCCTGGACACAGTTGGGGAAACCGTTTAATGTTTTTCTGGAGGAATCCAGCTTCTCCGGGAGGAGCTGCTTCTTTAGCGAGTGGATTCAGTTGACTGGTCATCTTGGGCAGCACAATGGCCGTCAACAGACATTTGAAAACCTCAAGACTGGGCAAAAAATAATATCATTAAAGTCCACTGGGTTGTACCAGTGGCTCAAAGAACTCACAGCCGTGGGGAGCACGACAGGAGGGGTTCTCCCTGCCCAGCCCCACGAGGGCCCCAAGCCCTGGCGACAGCCGGGTGGTGCCTTTGAACGCAGGCCCTCAGCTATCAGCTCCCAGCTGGGGATGTGGCGTTGAACGCTGACATCACAAACCCTACAACGCCCTGGGAATCAAGAACAGACCCACTCTGCAGGTAACTGAGGCTCAGAAACAGACTCCAGCCCCGCCACATGCGTGACCCAGAGCCGGGAGCTGACGTCCGAGCCACGTCCGTCCACCACCCCACAGGGCCTGCAGGCACCTGCCATAGGAAAGGCTGAGAAAGGGGTCCAATCCCACAGCCTCCCACCCCAGCAAATTTCCAGGTGATGGCTCCCTGCAAGGCATGTGATAAAAACTGCCAGGTCAAATACACAGAGGTGACCCTGCCAAGGTCACTCGATCCTAACAGTGGGTCGTGGTCCTCAGACGTGGGAGGCCACGTCCTGCTTTCTGAGGCCTCAGACCTTGGTGGGGCACAGAAGGACTGCCCAGGGTGCACCCAGAACTTTTTATTACAGACGTCTGCCCAGGAAGCGCCTGAGAGCTGTTTCTCGAGGGAATGGATGGATGAGGAAGGAGAGAGGGTTGATGTAGACCTAGGATGGGGCCACAGGCCCCCCTGGCCCAGGCCCCTTAGCTGCCGTCTCCCAGGATGCAGAAGCATCACTGCAGGGCCCGCCGGTACAGGGAATAGGCAGGCGTGATCCTGGGGGTTCTGGAGCTTTCCGATTCCACAGCTCAGCCTCAACGTTCCAGCCGAGGCAGGAAGTATCAGAGCTTCATGCAAAGCTGCGAAGACCAGCTCCTTCCCACAAGTGGGTGGCGGGGATGGTGCCGTGGCCCCTTCCTGGGTCTAACCCCATGACATGCTCACTGGGAAGCAGCCTCTTCCCAGACATCCAGGGACAAACATACCCAAGGCCCTTTCCTCGCAGAGCCTCCCAGAGGACCACGGGGAGGGCCACACGCCACGACTGGCTGGGATCCTTTTGGTTCGCAATCGGCCCCTCAGGGTCTGGAGGTACAAGGGGCAGTGACTGGGAACACCCGAACACCCCCAGACAGCCTTGACCATCTCAGCCTGCCCCCTCTAGGAGCGTGATACCTCCTGACACCAGGAACCCCGTCTACAGGGGCCGTCTCATCTGTAGGTGGCCTTGCTGGGCCAGGACAGGGGCAGCAGAGGTGCTCAGGAGGACCCAATGCCTCTGAGGTGTAAACCTCCTCAGGGGAACAGCTTGGGGAACCACAGTCCCAGGGTGGAAAGGGCCAGGCCCCTTTCCCAAGATACATCAGCTTCTTCCAAGAATACTGGCCAGCAAGCATTCTTACCCTCGTTTTGTTTCGTTTTAATTAGCAGACTTAATGTTTTAGGTTTACAGAAACACCAAGCAGATGGTAGAGGTCCCCCACACCCCCTCTCCCTGACCCAGTTTCTCCTATGATTACCTTCTCTCATTAGGGTGTAGGCGTGTGACAGGCCAAGAACCAATATTGATCCGTTATTATCACAAACGTCTGAAGTCTCCATCAGGATGCACTCTTGTGTTGTATTTTCTATGGGTGTTGAAAAGCACACATGGGACCCATACTCACCATCATACGATCCCAGTCTTAGGACAGCCTGCTGGGCACAGAAGGCTGGGCATCCCGCCAGGTGGCAGATCTCTGCCCCAGCCTAGGCTGGAACCAGCTGCCTGCTGCCCAGAGGTGGCCTCTCTGCTTCGGTCTAGCAGCCACCAGGGGCTCTGAGACCCTAAGCAGGCCACCACAGGGCGTGAGTTCCCCACGTCCGCATCTATAACTCAAGAGGTCCCAGCACTGCCCCTGCCTCTTCTGTGGTGTGATGATCTGGACCCTGACAGGCCATGTGGCCCTTCAGGTGTGGACCGGGCCTGGGGGGGCTGCTGTCTCAGGCTTGGAGGACATGGAAAGTGGTTGCTGTGCACTGCACAGGTGTGCACAGGTGTGAAGCCACAGGTCCCTCTCCACCGCAGCCTGGGCACCCTGGTACCTGCAGTATGGGGGTGGTGGGAGGGACAATCCTAGAGCAGATGGGGGCGGGTGGGGCATTCCCCAAGCTCCGAAATGCACCTCAACCAGACCTCGAGCCCCAGTGCGATGTCACTTGGTGTGCTGGGCAAGGTCCTGGCTGCAGGTTTCTGATGGAGTAGGTGCGCTAAACAGATCCTTACCATGAAACTACCTTCACTGGTCACTGTCATCGCCTTCCAGTTCTTCAGGCCTTCACCCTTGTTCCAGCTTTCCTGGGCTGGGGGCTCGGCTCCACCCACCTTTGCCGGTGACTTCCATCCCTGCAGACCCACAATTTTCAAAGCCCTCTCCCCACCTCCTCTGGTAGTCACAACCCAGTTATTCAGACTTGCACAGGTCGTTTGCAAGTCCTCCTGGAAGGTATCTTGGCTGGAAAAGGGGACAAGGCCAAGCTTCCCCATCGCTGGATGCTGCGCTCGGCTCTGGAGCTGACTAGTCTCGGGCAAGGCCACTGACCCGCGGCACAGAGAAGCCAGCTTGTGATCGCAGCTGGGACCGCCTGGAGGGCCAGCCCCGGCCTCTCCCGCCTGGCGGGCCCTCGGCACCCTCTCGCTCCCCCTCTCCGGCCTGAGTCTGTAGGGCCTCCCCAGTCCGGGCGGGGGTCTCCGCTGTCCCCCGCAATGGTTCAGGCACGTGGTGGCCGCGGTGACCACCCGGGGAACGACCACACTCGAGCAGGTGATTCTGCCCCGGGGCACGGGGGCGGGGCGGGGTTCGGCCTCATCTGCAGAGTTTGGGTGTCAAAGCTGGGGCGGGGGTTGCTGCTGATAACCGGAGAGCGGGGGCCAGGGTGCTGCTAACATCCCACCAGGCGCAGGAGGTCCCCACCCCGAGAACCGTCTGGCCCCGGGTGTCCGCAGCGAGGAGTGGGCAGCGCTCGGCAGAGGCCCCGGCGCGGCGGCCGCACGTCCCCGGTCAGGAGGGAGCCGGGAACTCCCGAGGCACCAACTCTGCCGGGCTCGGGGTGCCCGGATCGCCCCGGACGGCCGCTGGCTGGCGAGGCGCGGGGGACCCAGAACCGGCCGGGCCGGGGCCTCCTTCACCGCTCCACGCCGGGGCTGCCGCAGCATGGGGCGCAGGATGGGGGGCAGGATGGGGGGCAGGATGGGGCGCAGGATGGGGGGGGGGGGGGGGGGGGGGGGGGGATGGGGCGCAGGATGGGGCGCAGGATGGGGCGCAGGATGGGGGGCAGGATGGGGCCCCGGCACCGCCTCGGGGGGTCGGCAGGGGCGGGCGCAGCTCGCGTCGGCCACTACAAGGGGGTCTCGGGTTTCCACCCCGCCCCCGCCTCGCACCCCCTCGCGCCCCGGACTCCGCTTTCCAGGCCGGGCTCTTCCCTGCGGACCCCGCTCGCGGCCCGGCGCGCCCCCTCCTCCTGCAGCGCCCCCGCTCCGGCGCCCGCGCCCCCGATTCGCTGCTGACTCGGTGTCTGCGCGTCCGGCCGGGCGCCCCGGGAGGAGTTTCCGGCGCGGGGCGGGGCGGGGCGGGGCGGGGCGGGGCGGCGGGTGGGCCCCACCCCCCGGTTGAGCCCGGCCGGGCGGACTCGGACTCGTCAACTTCAGAGGCTCGGCGGCGGCGGCGGGCGCGGACCAGTGCGCGCGTCTCCAGCGGCTCCAGCGGCTCCAGCGGCTCCAGCGGGCCGGGATGGGCGGGCGGCCGCGCGGAGGACTCGGGGGGCGCGCGACGTGACCACCCGGACTCGAAGCCCGCCCCGCCCCCGCCCCCGCCCGGCTCGCGGGCTCCGGGGTCTGCTCCGCGGGGCGCGGACGCGGGGCCGGGCGGCGGAGCCGGAGCCAGAGCATGCGGGGCGCGGCGCGGGCGGCCTGGGGGCGTGCGGGGCAGCTGTGGCCGCGACCCCCCGCCCCGGGCCCGCCCCCGCCGCCGCTCCTGCTGCTGCTCCTGCTCCCGGCCGTGCTGCTGGGCGGCGCGGGCGCGCAGTACTCCAGCGACCTGTGCAGCTGGAAGGGGAGGTGAGTGTGCGCGGCGCGACCCCGGCCCGGCCCCCTCCCCTCGCGTCCCCTCCCGTCCTGGGCCGGCCGAGCGTGCGGGGGCGCGGCCAGGGGCGAGCGCGGGGCAGAGGCTCCGGGGGCCGCTCTCCAGGCCCAGTCCGGTGCCCACTGTCCCCCGCCCCCGGTTCTAGAACAAAAGAGCCTGCGGCGTCCCGGTCCCTGGCCCGGAGGACGCCCGGGGGAGGCGCGCCTGCAGCGCGGCAGGGTCGGTCCCGGCTCCGCGCGTGTCCGAGCCTCGGGGGCCGCCGGTCCCGCGACCCCATCCCGGGGACAGGCGGGGGTCGGTGCTCGGGCCCTTCCTTGCAGGCTCCGGGAGTTGCGCGCCCCGAGGCCGCCCCGGGCCAGTGCGGGAGGGGGCGGCCGCGGGAGGGAGCGGCGGTGTCGGGGGACGGGCGCGGACCGCAGCGGGGGCCACTTCTGTCTCGGGGAGCCGCGGGCGGGCACCTGTGAACCGGGCCGAGTGCGGCTCCGGCCGGGCCCCCCGCCCCTGCCCCGTGAAGGTCAGGCCGCCCTTGGCCGCGGCGCGCGCTGCGCTGGGCGACCCCCCCTCCGCCCACCCGCGGTGGCAGCCGAGGACTTTTTTTTTTAACTCAAGTGTGGCCGCTGAGAGCAGCGCCAGCCGCGAGTGCCCCTCGGGAGCCGCCGCTGCTCCCACGCGAATCCCAGGGCGCCGAGGGCACCGCGGCCGAACCCGCCCTGCGCGAGCCTCGGAGTCGCCAGTTCCGGAGTTCGCAGATGCGCGGGGACCCGAGTGGCGCGCGCCTCCCGGAAAGCCGTGGCCGGGCCGGCCTGGGCCCGGGTCCCGCTTCCCCTCGGCCCGTCCCCCGCCCGCCGGCCGCCGCCCCCGCCGGGCACCGAGTCACGCGGTTATTTCGAGCGAAGCTGTTTTCCGAGAAGGTCGGGGCAGAGCCGGTGCGGGGCTGGTGTCCGCGGGGCAGGCGCGGGTCTCCCCGGACCGCAGCCTCCGTTCTCGGTCTCTGCGAAGCCGCGGTCACCCCCCAGCGGAGCCTCCCGGGGGAAGGGGAGCCGCGGTCACCCCCCAGCGGAGCCTCCCCGGGGGAAGGGGAGCCGCGGTCACCCCCCAGCGGAGCCTCCCCGGGGAAGGGGAGCCGCGGTCACCCCCCAGCGTCCCCAGCGGAGCCTCCCCGGGGGAAGGGGAGCCGCGGTCACCCCCCAGCGTCCCCAGCGGAGCCTCCCGGGGGGAAGGGGAGCCGCGGTCACCCCCTAGCGTCCCCAGCGGAGCCTCCCGGGGGAAGGGGCGGGGCGCTGGGAGGGAGAGTCACCCCAGAGAGCCGTGGGCGGTGCCCGGCTGTCCCGGGAGCGGCCGCCTCCCTTCTCGGCAGAAGCCTCCCGGCCGGCCGAGCGGGGACGCGGGAGCTGAGGTTGGGCCGCGGGCGGATGGAGGTCTGGGGGAGGGTCGGCCGGGAACGCTGGCGCCAGCGGAGCTGGCTGGGAGCCTCCGAGGCTGACAGCTCTTCTGGGGCCGCCCTTGCCCCCGCGTGGTGATTAAATTCCGGCTCGCTGCCTCTGCCGGGCGGGTCAGTGCACCCCTAAACCGAGACCTTGGGGCGTTCTGCTTCAGCAGACCGAAACCAGAAACGCAGTCCCCGCCGCCCAGGCTGAGTTTGTTGAGAAGGAGCCGGCAGCCTTTTCAGGGTGTCAGGGGACTGTGTGCTCCGTGGGAGGGGGCGTCTCCTGGGGCCCGGAGGGCGCGGTAGGGAGCCACGGGTGGGTGGGAGGCCACCCCTCCACCTCCAGGGGCGGGTGATGGCAGCGGGACAGGAGTGTTTTGCCCTCCAGGACCTGTGCACCCTCCGGTCTACCCGGAGACCCTCTTCGCCCCGTCGTTGCCAGCGTGCTCCTGGCCTCAGACTCCCCGGAGGGCCCCCCACCCCCACCTGCAGAGCCTGGCAGAGGGCAACTGTGGGGGCTGCTGGAGCTGCAGGTGTGATCTGGAGGGGACACGGGGCCTGGTTGTGTTTCTGGGGCATAAGTGAGACTTCCTTTTGTTGTAATCACTGCCCGGTTGATCCACACACTTCACAAATCAGTGACTCGCTGTTGAAACTGGAGTGCACCGGCCTGCCTGCGACCCTCCAGTGTTTGTGACTTTTTACCAGCTGTCCTGAAGAAGCACAGCGTGGAGCGAGCACTGGTGTGCTGGGTGGATTTTCATCCCCTGATAGCAGGACAGTTGCCCCTCATGACACTGGTGACGGCATTGACAGCCTCTGTTGCTGGGTTTTTCTTCTAAGCAATTAAGTAGGAGATGATGAAACCTTTTTCCCTTTGGGGGAGGCAGGACCAGCGCCCTGTCTTTATCAGCCGGTGGCCATAAAGGTGGACCATGAACTTTCCCACTTGTGTCAGCCCAGGCATCGCAGGTGCGGTCACACCTGGTTTGTCTCTCATGCAAGGTGGGGAAAGGAAAGGTAACCTGCCAGTGGGTTCAAAGCCCTTCCTGACTTTCATACAGGAGCCGGGCATTTTGTCCTGGTGACTCAGAGTTGTGGTGTGTGGGCTGGTGCCTCAGCAACACTCCAGTGCACCTGCACTGCCTCCTTCAGCGAGTCCCTTGATCCACTTGGGATTTGCCCTCCTTTCCACGAAGGTGCCCCACAAGCATGTCCACCTGGGTGGTAACCTTTGCTGACTATTAAAAATGCATCTGTTGAGTCCGTTTATCCAACATCAAATCAATCTTGCCAGTTTCCTAAAGTTGGACAGAACCACAGTTTTGTCTGCACAGTTTAATCACAACAGAACTGTGTGTGTGTCACCTGCATCTCCTGTGAAAATCACAAAATGCCCTCATCCATGACCATTAAATATGTCACATTTTTGCAATGCCACCAATTTTGCATAAACAGACTCTGTTTCCAGGTTTGCTGAGGTGCTGGATATTTGGAGGTGAGAACTTTGAGGCGCTCGATTTTCTGGTAGGAACCAGCACAGACCATGAGTCTTGGACTTCGTGCCGAGGTCTGCTGGGTCCCAGGCTGAAGGACGCATCGTTTTACTTTTTTTTTAATCTACATGGGTCTTGTGCATCACATGCTACTGATTTTAATGTGAAAATTCCCATGTCACTGGCCTAGCTGGAGTCCCGTTGGTCTGGATGTTTTGCAAGAATGTGAGAAAAGAGGGCAGCAGGCCCTGCGCTGGGTGCAGACCCCTCTGAGTGGGCTGAGAAGACGTTAGGTGAAGGGTGAGGTAGCCGGGTGCCTTCTTTCTTCTGTGTCCACCTTCGTTTTGTCCTTGTCCTCTTTTTGCCCAGTGTCTTCTGAGTGGGTGGAGCCAGATGTGCCCACCAGATGCAGGTAGCATGTGCTAGGCCAGGATGGCCCCAAGGCTCAAGTTGGCCTCCCCCTGGGCAGAGGTGGGTTGGCTGCCTGTCCCCAGGAGGGTGCCCTCCGCCCCTGCTGATTTGTGGCTGTTCCCCTCCCCTGCTCGATGAAGGCAGTACTGTCAGAGGTGACCAGAGCCCACTCCCTCGAGCTTCAGGACCCCCCGAGAGGAGGCAACGTGTCAGGATGGTGTATGTGGAGAGAGGGCTGAGGCTCGGTGCCTGAGCAGGGGCAGGAGGACAGTGGCCTCGATGCCAGAGTCGGGAGGGAGGGACACGACGATGAGGCTGCATAAGGAGAGAACTGACTGTAGCCGAGTGTGTCAGCCACTCTCCACTGAGTCCAGTTTCCACACAGCACGATCATCATGCCCTTCCCCACATACGTGTTAGATGAGCTTGCGTGAGCTTTATGGACTGTAATTTGTGAGTCTGTTCTGGGTGTGTGATCCTGGCAGCCGGTGCGGCGTGGCCACTCATGACCTAGGGCCTTGTGGGGGTGGGGAGAGGGTGAGGAGGAGTGCACCCCTCGACACCTCCCTCTGATGTGGCCTGCAGCCTATGAAAAGTGAGGTTTGGGGGCCGAGAGTGTGAGTCAGCAGCAGTAAATGC